GACAACAATAGATTAAAAAATCAAAGGATAGAAAAAAATTTTAACTAATGGCAATCAAAATGAGCAGGAGTGGGAACATTAATTTCTGATAATACCGACTTTAAAGTACAAATCAGCATAAGAGAATAAAAAGGAAATTAGCTCTTGATTAAAGGGCCAACTCAACAAGAGGACATTATCATAACAAACACGTATGCTCCCAATGAAAGTCTCAAAATGAATAAATCAAACTCTAACAGAATTGAAGAAAGAAAAAGGACAACTCTACAATAATAATAGATTTTAATATACCAATTTCAAAACTAGAAATAAACTCAAGAAAAGCACAGAAGAACTAAACAACACAGTCAATCAACTTGACCTCATAGACTTGTACAGAGTACTTAATCCAACAATAGTACAATACACATTATTTTCTAGTACACATGGCATATTCTCCAGAATAGACCTTATATTAGACAACAAAGCAAGTCTCAATTTTAAAACAGTGAAATACTACAGAGCATATTTTCAGATCATTATGCTATAAAATTAGAAATCAACAATAGTAAGATCAAGGGAAAGAAATCAAATACCTAGAAACTATATGTTGTTGTTGTGAAGTGCTGTCTAGTAGGTTCCGACCCATAGCAACCTTGTGTAGGGTTTCCGCGGAGTAGCTGGTGAGCTTGAACTGCCGACCTTGCAATTCAAGTGGCTTTGCAGTCTGGCTCATTAACCTACAGCCAGGACTCCAGAAACTGTATAATACTTCACTTAAAATTAATATAACAAATTAAATTAAAAATTCCTTGAATCAAATGAGAATAAAAACACAACATACCACAATCTTTGGAACAGAGCAAAAGCAGTGCATAGAACATAACTTATAGCAATAAACACACACATCCAAAAGGAGGAAAGAACCAAAATCAACACATTAATGTAACTTCTCTAGCAATTAGAAAAAGAACTACAAAGTAAGCCTACAACGATCAGAAGGAAAGATATAATAAAGATTACAGCCACCAAAAGGAAAGATATAATAAAGAAATAAATGAAATTGTTGTTGTTAGGTGCCATCAAGTCGGTACTGACTTACAGCTACTTTATGCACAACAGAATGAAACACTGCTGAGTCCTGCGAACCTCGTAGTCATTGCTAGGTTTGACATCATTGCTGCTGCCACTGTGCCAATCCATCTCATTGGGGTCTTCCTCTTTTTTGCTGGCCCTCCACTTTACCAAGAATCATGTCCTTCTACAGGGAATGGTCCCTTCAAAAACTATGTGTGAAGTATGAAAGACAAAATTTGGCCATCCTTGCTAATAAGGAGCATTCTAGTTGTACTTCTTCCAACACAGATTTATTTGTTCTTTTGGCAACACCATAACTCAAATGCATCAGTTCATCTATGGTCTTCCTTATTCACTGTCAAACTCTCACATGAATATGAAGTTACAACAACTCTTCAGAAGAGCTCATTTAGTCAATTCCCTCATTTCTTAGATAAGGATGTTATAGTCTCAAAGAAGTGATAGTTCATTTTTGTTTTTATTTTTTTCTTTCAGGTTTCCAAGCTGGTTAATAGCAAAACTAGCCTTTCTGTTTATGCTCACTTTTTCTACTACATTTAGTTACTTACAAATTCATTATTACCAACTAAGAGTCGTGGTGTGACACTGTAGGATAAGCACTAGAGTGCTAACCGCAAGGTCAGCTATACAAGGTCTGCAGTTCAAACCCACCAGCCATTCCTCAGAAACCCTACACAAGGTCACTCTCAGTTGTAACTGATTCAATAATGCTTAACAACAAGATGATAGCTATAAAATTATTTCTATTATAGTGGTACAGTGATGTGTTGCGGACCGTGTAAGACTGGTCAGAGGTTCGAGGCCCTATAGGCCCGAGTGTAACAAATGAGGCCACTGGAAGTTAATGGCAAAGTGCTTTCATCTTAATATTCAGTTATGTATATTAAATTAATACAGGGAGCCTTTGAAAATCCACAGATAAATGTGATATTTTCCTAAAGCTTAGACTAAAGGTTGCAAGGTTAAACCTTTCTCCAAAGGATTAACTAAAAATATTTTAGCTACTTCTCGGTTCTTTGTTCTATAGACAAAGAATCCATCCTCCCTAATCCCTTTTCCAGGTGCAGCCCATTCACCTGGGCGTCTCCTGCAGAACTCTCACCTTCCCCCAACTGAGTTCAGGGGCTATAGATATGTTAATTGGTCCTGAGAATCCAAGTTGCTGGCCTGGGATTCGCACCAGTGAAGTATGATGTAAAGTTACCTGAATGTCTGGAAAATTACTGATGTTAGCTGTACCTTGCCTAAGTCCCTCCCAGCTTGGTGTGAAACTCCTCCCCTAAATAAAGCAGAGGCCCGGGCCTCCCCAGATGTGCATTATGGGTTGGAAGGCATGCATTAAAGATTGCAGGGTAGTGAGTTGCTGCCTGCAGAGGCCATGATGCCTGTAGTCCCAAGCCTGCCCACCAGTGATGTATCCACCCTGGCTTTGGGGTGCCTCATTGTCTCCCTTCTTCTTTTTGTCTGTGTATTCTTTCGCTATCCCTATCGCCGCTGGATCTCCCCTCCTCGTGAACCAAACACTCGTGAACCGAACCCCTATGTCAAGGCAGGTCCCCGGCAGTGATGTTGGTAATTGTGAACAGATACAATGAACTAATAATGTTTCAGCAGGAATTTTGAATTTTGCAAATATTTTTGTTATTGTTGTTAAGTGCCATTGAGTCAATTCTGAGCCATACTGACCCTGTATAGGGTTTCCAAGGAGCAGCTGATGAGCTTGAACCACCAACCTTGCAGTTCACACGACTTTGCAGCGTGATGCATTAGCCCACAGCGTCACATTTTTTAGGGAGACATAATTTGGTCTTTGGAGAATTAAGGATTAATAAAACCTGAGAATCAGCAAACTAAAACAATTTAAAGAGGCTGATGAACTGGTTCTCCTTTAATATTGCTTATTTACAAATTATTTTAAAAAGCCATAATTAGCCAGATCATTAATTCTCAGACACATATATTTTTTTTACATTTTTCTAGAGGCAGACTTGTTTCTCTCTCACCAGTTCTCTGGCTATAAAGTCAGCATCTACTTGTCTCATATTCCAACCATTAATTATTTCCAGCATCCTATCTCCTATCTCTTTCCTCTTTTCCTTTCTCACTTTGCATCCCCTCTTTTACTTCCTCCTTGTATTATATCAGCTACCAGCTGCTAAGAGGGCAGACTAAGTCTTTTATCAAATTGGGAGGTTTTCTTTTTGTCATTCAGCTCATTTCCTTAGCACACTAAGACTAAAAATAGTTATGATTTTATCTCAAATACTTAAGTTCAACTTAGACATTATCATTTGAAAGCTTGGGTAGCAGGAAGTAGGCCTAGGCTTTCAACTCTAGATTTTGCTTCTAATTTGACCTAGAAGCATTCACTAGAAACTGTATTTCACTCTAGACAATTTGCTTAATCTGAAAATGCACAATAACCTAACACCTAGGATCTTTCAATATATCTAGATTTAACCAATGGCGCTTATTCCCTGCCTCTTCTAATTCACTAGTTTCTGTTTTTCTTTTATCTAGTTCCTTGAACCACTGACCCTTTACTTCAACTTCCAATTCCTGTTTCAAACTGTCAAACTGTAAGAATGATAAAATTGATAATGCATTTGGACCTTCTTCTCTAGTTTACTGACATTCTGTGCTTTGGTCTACCTTCAATTTGTAGATGATTTGACACCCCATATTCACAGCTGTAGTCCCAGCAGGATCCATACTAGTGGGACAAACCATATGATCTCTCCCTTAGGAAAAGAATACCAGATTAGAGATTTCTGACTAGCTTGATTTCTGGGAATAGACTGATTTAGCACAAGAGAATGCTCAGGCCAGAACTATACCAAAGCCAAGTAGTTCTGAGCTAAAACCAAACACCCAATTCATTGCTGTTGTGTAAATTCTAACTTGTAGTAACCCTATAAAACAGAATTGAACTGCTCCACAGAGTTTCCAATGTTTTAAATATTTGTGAAAGCACTTTACAACATCTTTTTCCCAGGGAGCTACTGGAGGGTTAGAACTGGCACACTTTCAGTTAGCAGCCAACTGCTTAACCATGAAATAGGCAATGGTGGAAACTCTCAGGACTGCTATAAGACAAAATGGAACTCTTTCCAATTTTCTTTCCTCCCATCATTCCCTGCACTGTTTCAGGACCAAATCTATCTCCAAAGGACCATTTCCCATATGCAAAGACTGAATGCATTTTGTATCCAGACATTTTACTAGATCACTGTTGAGACTCCACTTAGGCAGCATAATACCAGAGTTTCACAGCTCCAAAAGCACAAAGGAACAAAATGAAAATTGAGAACTCTATAGCTTCTTCTGCTGTACTTTTGCCAAACATTCATAAATAATCCATATACTCTAAACACCTACCTACAAAAAAAAAAAAAAAAATTAAAATTGAATGCTCTCAAAACTGTAGTTTACATTTAGTGGACTACCAAAATGGCATGGGATAAATTGAATCTTTGATCAGTTGATTAAGCAAAGTTTAGTTCTGAAATAGTTAATCACCAGAAATAGTACAAAGAAAATTATTCCCTGAAGTAATTTTTAATAAGTGGAGTTTATTTAAGTCATGTTTTCTGGGAATAAATATGGATAGTAATAAACAAACAAGCAAAAAAAACCAGGTGTAAAAATTAAAACCTGTCCTTCATGTCTCCCCTAATGTCCATATGCTCTGCACCTGTCTGTCCCTTCATCTTGTGATGATGTTAATCTCTGTTTATTTTGCTCCTGCAAATCCAAGCACATGTAGTTCACTCAGAGAATGCCCTCTAAAAGTTGGTCTAAGCCTGTTCTTTCTCACCTTAAAAAGTAAAGGAAAGAAAGTGTGTGAGTGTGTATTTGTGTGTGTGTGTGTCCTGTTGGTGGTGGTAGTGGTGGTTAAAGAGTAAGTTGGGACTTCCTCTTTGAACAGTTATCTTTTCCCTTCACACAAGGGAGATCTCATTTTGTTCTGAGACTGGATACAGTTGAAATCAAGTCACATACTGAAGAGACAGTATGCTGGCTAAGAAGCCCCCCAAACCAGCCCCTCGCAGAATCTTCCAGGAACGGTTAAAGATTACTGCTCTACCTTTGTACTTTGAAGGTTTTTTATTAGTTAAGCGGCCAGAATATCAGGTAAGTATATAGATAATGTTAAACCATAAGCTTCTGTGTTAATACAAAGTATATTTCATGGTAAGCAATGTGATAAAGGCCTATGTGTTTCTATTGGGATTAAGCTCTCTTCTATTCCTTGAGCTCAGAAAATATTATTTCAATTTTTGCTTACTTTCAATATAATATATGGCTTATATATACCAGGGGGTTTCAACAAACTCATGAAAAAATTCTATTATTTTTTTAATCAATTTTTCCACAAACTTTTTGAAGTATGTATACATAATAACATAAGATGTTAATATCACTAATTAACTAATATAAATAGATAAATAATATAACTATGCAAAGAATTAATTTAAATATCACAAAAGATTTTGGCTTAAAAGATAACATTTTTTCTATATTGTCTCCATAATTTACTACTGTGTTTCCATGACCATATGTACTGTTAAGATAAAATATTATTATGATTGAAAGTAAACCTATTCTCAGTTGTTTATAATAATAATTTATATTTATAATTGTTTATCAATAACAACTAAATAAATTTTGGTTAAAATATAAAAATGGTAAAATTGATGCCATTTAATATTATGCTAGGAATGGCAATGGACCAGGCAGGCAATGTTTTATTCTGTTGTGCATTGGGGTGCCAAGAGGTAGGGGGAACAATTCACTGGCAGCTAAGAACAGCGATAGCTACTGTTAGGAAACACTGTTCAGGATAAAGACTTTGCAAGATAATATTTAGGATACTATCCTGGCTAATATGTATACTAAGCCACATTAATCCATTCCTTCCAAGGAAACAGTCCACATTTTTTAAATGGCAATAATGAAAACCTACAGTCAGCTAAAATCGGTGCTTTAAAAACAGTAATTGTGGCTAATTTCATAATTAATGAAAGAAACATATATGAACTTATTTGTTATTAAAGAAAAAAGAAATAGTTTAGGTTAAAGTTTATGAAATTTTAATAGTAATAGAGCAAGTATATTCAGAAATGCCATAAGAAATGTTTAACAACAATGATAATAAATGTCTTTTCTAAGGATTTATTAAACATATAGAAAAATTATTTATGTGAAAACATTAGTAACAACAATTCATATTTAATATCTAATGGGATCATTTACTATTTGAGTAAAGATATGGTAATCTGTATTCTGTAATGAGTGTTACACTTGTATTAATAATATCTGTCAGTTACTACTTTGTCGTTACCAGTTGGGCTGTTAACTGCCCGGTCAGGAGTTTGAATCTACTAGCTGCTCCCAAGGAGAAAGATGAAGCTTTCTGCTTCTGTAAAGATTTACAACCTCAGAAACCCTATACAGGGTTGCTATGAGTCAGAAACCGACTCAGCAGCAGACAACCAACCACTACCACTACTTTGAACACATAATCAGGAAGGACCAATCCCTAGAAAAGGACATGTTTGGTAACGTGGAAAACAAGGCAACCTCATCATGAGATGGTTAGTTCATAATGACTGCAAAAATGAACTCAAATATACTGTGAGGATGGTGAAGGACCAGGCAATCTTTTATTCTTTTATAGGTAAAGTACCATGAGTTGGACTAGATGGAAAGGTCGGTTTGAACCACAAGGTCAGCAGTTTGAGCTCATCAGCCGCTCCTTGAAAACACAATGCAGGGTTGCTACGAGTCAAAACTGATTCAAACAGCACTTAACTACAGCAACAACTGTTAAAAAGTAAATTCAAATTTGTCTTCTTAAATTGGCTACATTGATACACTGTTCCAGGAAAGGGGAGTAGAGAAGATAAATTTTTTATTTGAAACTTACATTTGATTATTGTTTAAAAGTTTTACAAAATCAGATGCCAGCTTCCTTTTAATGTTTAAAGAAGTCATGTCATTGGTATGGGTAGCTGGAAGAACAATAAATTTAGGATGTCAATAAAATGTGCCTTTAGTTACTGATTTGCGACTTACAGTTTGTGATCTTGTGCAAGTTAAAATCTCCCTGAAATTTAATGTCCTTTATTATAAAATGGGGAAAATACTACTTGTCTCCTAAAATACAAAGTACAGTTATGTTAGATATACATCAGTTCATGTATTTAAACAGTATTTATTGAGTATCTCCTATGTATACACTCAGCTTGAGGGTTACAAACATGAATAAGGCCTAAAGACCTTACCTTCAAGAGGCTTACAGTTTAATGAGGGGTGATGAACCGATTGCTGTGCTTTAACTTTCCAAAGAAACCATGCTTTGAAATGTAAGAAATAACCTATAGGCATAAATATTTGTGATGTAATAAAAATGTCTCTCCATTTGAATTCATAGAAAAGAAAGCAAGAGGACAAAAATGATGCCAATGTATAGGTGGTTACAAGGACTAAAAGGGATAACATATGTAAAAATCCTAGTTCAAACTAAAGGTTTGATTCATTCTCTTTCCATTTCATTGTTTATTATGTGCTTATCAATACAATCAAAAAGCCCTAGTAGCGTATAATAGATTATAACTTGGGCTGCTAACCACAAGGTCAGTTGTTTGAATCTATGAGTCACTCCTCAGAAAAAATAAAAGGCTTTCTGCCCCCATAAAGATTTACAGTCCCAGAATCCCTAAACAAGGTCTTTATGAGTTGGAACCAATTCGATGGCACTTAACAAACAATATTAAGAAAAGTTAAGGAAAATAAATGGGATTTCCAAGGAAGTAGAAGCAAGATGCCCAGGAGACTTTGACAGGAAAGAGAATCGAGGGTATAAACTAAGGTCATCTTTGAAGCTAATGGTGGACTGAAAACGGGAAGTTCTTCAGAATGTTAAGTGGAGAGCCTAGCAGGCACATTTAATGTAGAGAAAGTATAGCTGGTGATTAACCTGGTCAATAAAAAGGACAATTACACATTGAGAGGTGTTCTTAGCTATTTTTCAGAATCTGATGAACTTTGTTTCAAGAAAATGTGTTTTTTTGCATGCAATTCCAGAAGGCCCCAGACCCCAAGGAGACTACACCTTCTTTTTTTAAAAGATTCTATGAGAAAAATTACTTAAACCATAGCAATAGGATTTAGGATTCACAAGGAAATTTTATTTAATAGTGTTGTTAAGGGCTGTGGAGTCTGTACCGGCTCATAATGACCCTGTATAGGTTTCAGAGGGGCTGCTAGTAGGTTCCCTAGGAGCCGACCTTGCAGTCCAAACTGATCTTGCAGTCCAGTGCTTATCCTACAATGCCACACCAAGACTCTTATTTACAGAAGCTATTAAATGCCACAATGAGTTACCATAGACACGACAGTTCTTATAAATGGTGAAAATCTTATGTTTTGGAAATTGTTTAAAAACAAGAGGGGATTTGGCAGCTACTCATAGTTCCTTCAGTCTGTGATGAGCTAAAGTTAAAAATAATGTGTGTAATATATTTTTGTATTAACCTGAATGCAGGTCATCATGCTGTTGTTGTTAAGTGCTGACTTGTAGCAACCCTGTATAGGGTTTCCAAGGAGTGGCTGGTGAGCTTGAAGCGCTGACTTGCAGTCCAGTGCTTATCCCACATTGCCACAGCAAGCCTCCATCAAAATAACAGACTAGTTCTCTACTTGCCTCTAATCCAATCAGGAAATATTTTGTTATCTCAGTTGTGCTCACGGTTTTCTGTGTCTACATTTTTAAATTACACACTCCTTTTAAGAAAATATTTTGATAATAGATTCCTGATGCAAGAAAATTTATTTATATGGACATTATATGTATATTCCTGTACTAACACTTCATGTAAATGATTAAATATACGGTGGAAAAATTATTTTAAAAATCCTGGTAGTGAAATAATTAGGCACTCAATTGCTAACTCAAAAGGCTGGCAGTTTGAACCTACCCAGAGGCTCTTTGGGCAAAGTCCTAACAATATGCTTTCATAAAGATTGTGTCTATGTGCCAATGAGTAAATTCTGACTCTTAACAACCTTTTAGTTCATAACAGCACTGCCCCTATAGGGTTTCCAAGGCTGTAAATCTTTACGGAAGCAGACTTCCACATCTTTTTACCACAGAATGGCAGATGAATTTGAACCATTGAACTTTCAGTTAGTAGTCAAGTGCGTAAGCACAGTGCTACCAGGATTCCTTCCCATAAAGATTACAATCTGCAAACCCTTATGGAGCAGTTATAAACTGTCAAATGGGGTTAATATGACTCAAAATTGATTTGACGACACCTAACAACTTCAACCATAATAAAGGGTTATTAAGCACTGAAACTGCTAACCACAATGTTGGAACTTCAAACCCATCAGCCACTCCTTGGAAACCCTATACAGGGTCTCCGTGAGTGGGAATCAACTCAATGGTACATAATAAACAACAAAAAGAGGATTTAATAGAAGAAATACAAGTAAGATGCTAAACACTGTTGCCAGCACAGTGTCCAATAAAATGATACATTTAAAAAAAGAAAGAAAGAAAGATGAGATATGGAAGCCAAAGTTTCTGAAATCATAGGGACTAGATGAAACCTGCAAAACTATTGCCCTAAAATAATTTTTAAACCTTTAACTAAAAATACTCTCTGAACTCTTCTCTTTTGTTTATCTTAAATTTTAACTATTTTGTTGTTGTTATATATAGCATAAATATATAGCAAAACATATACCAATTGTAAAAGCAGCAATGAAGCGGCAAGCTAAGCCCTACAATGTTCAGGGGACTTCTGTGGACCCAGTTGGGGACCTGGTTGGCAAGCAGTGTGAAGAGGCCTGGGGACTCTTGGGCCCAGAGTCAGTGGCGTGGCCACGGAGGACTCAAGAGGAGAGTGGAGCTACCGGCTGATGGGAAGAGA